AGTACTGACTGGCATTACGACGGATTGAAGAAAATGTTCTCGTTCGGTCTATTCCATTTCCTCACGGGGACTGAAAAGGTCCACAGTTTCATCGTTTTCGCCCTCCACTTATGATAAATCCTTTACACTGATTACAAGTATCAATCGGCCTGTCTCCGAATAGTCTAGTGCTGTTGTTAGTGCGTCTCAGTAATAACACTAATACCGCAGCTCCATGCTAATTGCCAGAAAAAATCTTGTTGACTGCCACAGAGTTGGCTAATGAATAATTGAGTGTTTTCTTTTGCGTTCCACTTCGATTTTAGCATAATATCGGGGAAAATAAACCCTAGAAAACAAACATCCACTAAAGAAAATAGGCATTATAAATTTGAGCGAAATAAAGCAAATACTTTGCGCCTAATATTTTGTTACTTTAATCAGCTGTAATTTATATTGTGGCTCTGAAAGTATGCAGCTGGCAACTTTTGCAACTGCTTTGACCATTGCTGCATTGCTTAGCTTGTAGCAAACGATCCTGATGATATGAGAGGATCTGATAGTTTTATAACAAAACAGTGCCGGAAGAAACTGAAGTAAGAATGATAATTTTTAATACGAATGTTTCAGTCTATTAAGTCTTATATATTCCTATTTAGTACCACAACTGGACCTCATCAGTTGACGATAGCAGCTGTAATATATTGGCAAAAAAGAATTGATTAATATGAAGGTAGAATTGAAAACCAAAAGTAAAGTAGAAAGTAAAAGTACATTTAAACTTTGCTTCATCACCCTTACCCAAAATTTGAACGATAAAAAAGAAATTATAGCAAGTAACAAAAGTGAAAGATCAAAAGAGTAGAGAGTAGTGGTTCTTTCGAAAAAATTTAAGAACTGTTTTTTCTCATTTTCAGGTGATGCATCATGGTTTCAATTATTTTTTATTCAATATGGCTCTAGCGGATTTTCTCATAGCACTTCTGAATGTTGGCACAACGTGGACATTTAATTTCTATTACGATTGGTGGTTTGGCGATTTTTGCGCAGCAAATTTGTTTTTTGGCGTCGCGCCAACCTGCGTTTCTGTTTTCACGATGACCGCTGTGAGCTGGGATAGGTAAGTGCTGTAGATTCATTATTTCAGTTATTTCTTTTTGATTTTTTCCCAGTTTTTATAAAAAGCGGAAAGCAGCCGAAAGTGAAAACCAGACATTCCCCAGGAGGGAAGCAAAATTTGCTTTTAAATTTTTCTCGTGCCTTGTCACTGAATAACAAAATCACAGATCACAGAACGATTTCATCCGTACAACTTTTGC